GATGGCAAGGCTTGTCATTACCGATCGGCCCCAAATTATTTCTCGAGGGCTAAGAACCAGCACGTGGAATCATATTTCCCTTGGACGGATCAGTTCCAGAAGGCCCAGCGGCGAGCGGCTCGCTCGTTCGCCCGTGGCATTTGGTGCGGGATGCAGGTGCAGCCCCTCCCCTTGGACCGGATCTTCGCGGAGTTGCACGGGGCGTTCCCGGCCGACCTCATCATCTCGGGCGTTTTCTAGTGCGCGCGGGAGGCTCAGCTGTCGCTGGCCGTTTGCGGGTCTTTCCAGATCACCGCTGGGCCGCCGCGAGTGGCGTGGGCGCTCCCGGCGTCCAAAAGACGGATTCGCAGGCTCCGGGGGCGCGCCGCGACTGGGAGTGCGTTTGCAGTGACCGCGCTCCCGGGCCGCGCGGGCTCTGCGCCGTGGTCTGGCAGCGGCGCCAGGCGCGCCGCGGGGCCTTGCTTCCGCAGCCAGACACCCCAGTCTTCCCAGACAGGTGCGGCAGCGTTCTCTTCCAGGTCCCATGGAGGGGGCCGACGCGGTGGTCCGCGTGGCAGCGGAGACGCTTGGCCTGCCCCTCCGTGATCCGTTTGGGCGGCACCGCCTCGAGGGGCCGCAGCCTGCGCGTCGCCCGCGCGCAGCACCTCGCCCGGGTCGGGCTCTCCATCGTCCATCCAGTTGCTAGTGCGGTTGGAGTCCGCGGCCATCTAGAGGCACATGCATGGCCGAGGCTCCGCTCGCCGCGATTGGCAAGGCGCGTCGCGAGACGTGGGCCAAGTACGCCGTGGAGGCTTTCGTCGCGGCCAGCCGGCCTGAGCGCGCCCGCTCGCGTGAGGCAGTCGGTGATTTTGCCGCGTGCCGCCGCCCTGCAAGCGCCCATCGACGGGGAACGCGACGCCAGGGGGCGCTTGGGCGAGCAGGCTTGTGAGGGAAGCCGCGTGGGCGTCGTGCGCACCGCGCTGAGCGCAGTCTGTGCTCGAGGCGAGGTGTGGCATGTTAGGCCAAACGCGCCCAGCGCCATCAGCAGGGTGGCGCACGGCTTGCGGCTGGAGTTTCGGCGCCGGCCAATTCGAATGGGCCGAGGCCCCGCGGAGAGGCGAGCCGTGCAAGCAGTGCTCCAGCGAGCTGGAGCCGCTGCATACGGCGGGCAGTGGGCACGCCCAGGGAGGCCGCGCGCTTCGGGCGCGACCCGGCCTCCACAGGGGGGTCTGGCGCGCTGGCTGCGCGGCAGGCCCCCTGGCCCCGTGTGGGGCGGCTCGCGCCACGAAGCGCCTGTGCCTTGGCGCGCAGCGGCATTGTCGCTGAAAGTAGTCCTGCACTCGCGCGCGCTTCATGCCTCGCAGAGGTGTGTCAGGCTCGGTACTTTGGGGCATGGTCGGAGCGAGGTGGAGTCTGGGCCGCTTCTTGCTTCTTCTGTTTCTGCATGGACGCAGGAGCTGCCCAGCTCATGTCCGCTCCACGTCCACAGGGAGGAGGCATGGGGGCTGTGCGAGGACGACGAGGAGGAACAAGAAGGGGGAGGAGAGAAGGAGGAGTGGGAGGGGAAGGAGGCTGACGCCAGCGACTCGGGCCCGCACCCCCGTGAGCCCTCCTGTTGTCTGCTCCGCCCTCTCCGGCAGGGCGGCGAAGGCGGCAGAGCGACGGAGGAGCGATGTGTAGCGATCTCCGAGGGCCCCTTGCGCCCGAGACTGGACGAGCGCGCCCGGAACGAACACAAAGCGCAGCGTTCGGCTCTCGACGCGAGGGGGCAAGGGCCGGGCCTGAACGGTGTTTTTGGTGGTTTCGTGGGCCGTTCGCGTTTCGACTTCGTTCTGCGGCACAGGCGGGCTCGAGACAGATGCGAGGGACGCCGAAGACAAAACGAAAACGAAAAACACAGTTTGGGCTCAGCCCTGCGAGGGGGCAGCGATTATCCTACCGGCCGGCGGCCTCGCCCCGCGCCCTTGCCCCGGGGCGCTCTCGCTCCGAGGGCCCTCCCCCTCCCCGGGTTCCCTCCTGCCCTCGCCTCCCTCCCCCCTCCTCCGCTGGGATGGTATGTGTATGGGCGGGCGGAGCATTTACACCTTGGCGCCCCTGCTGCTAGATACCGCGTGCTTTTGCCAGTAGCTAGCGAGTGCCGCGCTAAGCTGACCGTCTCCTCGGAAGATCAGAGCGCAATTCCAAATTCCTCCTCCGCTTGTCCCTGCCCTCTGACCCCCTCGCATCGTGAGCCAAGAAACACACTGGACGGTTTTCGGCAAACTTCAGCCTCTGGGTTCCCGGCGCCCGCGGGGAAGGAGTTCTCTGCTCCTGTGTGCCATGCTCCTGCTTTTCCTCCTCACCCCCTCTGCGCTCAATCCGAGCTGCCCTGGCAGCGCAACTCGTCGCCTTGGGCGTCGGTATGGGCTGCCCGCTTTGCTCGTGTTAGCTCCGGCTCTGGTGTTTCTGTTTCCGGGGCGGCCTCCCACCTCGGCTTGGCCCCCCCCGGCCCGCCGCGGGCCCTGCCCCTGCCCGGGCCCCGCTGACCTTCCGCATGCCTCTGGGCTCCATTCCTCCCCCCCGAGAGGCGGGAGAGAAGGAGACGGAGGGCACGTGCGGGGGCGGGAGCGAGCGAGCGAGCCGCGGAGCAGGGTCCGAGTCCGCGCACGCTGACCAGCACAAGACAGCGGCAGGGCTCCGCCTGCCTGCACACCGACCGCGCCCGGGGCGCACGCGTGGCGCCGGCAGGTGGGGGCTGGCCTGCCTCGGAGCACCCACTGATCACTAACACTGCGCCAGGAGTGAACTCGTGGCGACCGCAGGGCCCAGGCAGGCCAGGCGAGCCTCAGGCCTGGCGCACCTCCTTGAGCAGCCGCCGCAACAAGTCGAGGTCGGTGCGAACGAAAGCGAGGGCGTCGCGCGACGACGCCAGCGCCGGGAGCTGCGCGATCACGACCGCGCGCTCGTCTGCCACAGTGTCCATCGCGCCGCCAGCTCGGCAGCAGCGGGCGCCAGGACCACGGCCATGGCCTCGTCCGCTGCCGTCTCCGCTGCGGCCCGCCGAGCGGCCCGCTGCCGCCGCGGCCGCGGCCGCGGCAGGGCGTCAGTGTCGTCGAGGTCGGAGTGCGGCGCCGCAGCAACCGCCGTGGCCTGCCCAGGGTCCGGCCCCGCGCCAACCCCGCCCGCCGCTGCCGTCGGCGCCTCCAGCATCTCCACGTCGGGGGCCATGCCTGCCGCTGCCGCAGCAGGCCGCGCAGCTCCGCCCTCCTCGCGCCTCGCCGCGAGTCGCTGACGACGGCGGCGTCGCCGCTCGGCCTTGGCAGCCGCCGCGGCGGCCGTCGGTACCCGCGGAGGACGAGCACGCCCCGCGTCGAGCGGCGCCTGCGCAGCCGTCGGCGGCTCCCAGGCAGCACGAAAAACGCCGCCGAGACCGCCGAGCCGCGATAGCGCCACGCACCACAGCTTCCACAAGGGCAGCCTCGGCGGCCCCTGTGGAAGCTGTGGTGCGAGAGCTCCTCTGAGCAGCGCCACCTTGAGAACGGCGCGGGCGTGCAGCCGCTTGAGCCCACATGGCTGCGGACATTGCCTAGAGGAGGAGGAGGAGGAGGAGGAGGAGGAGGAGGAGGAGGAGGAGGAGGACGAGGACGAGGACGAGGACGAGGACGAGGACGAGGAGGACGAGGAGGAGGACGAGGACGAGGACGAGGACGAGGAGGACGAGGAGGACGAGGAGGACGAGGATGACGAGGAGGAGGAGGAGGAGGAAGAGCAGAAGCAGGAGCAGGAGGAGGAGGAGGAGGAGGAGGAGGAGGAGGAGGAGGAACTGGGAGGAGGGGGGGAGGGACGAGCAGGGGAGGAAGGAGACGCGAAGACGGTGAGAGTATGACGAGAAGCCGAGTGGCGAGGACGCGGGCCAGGCTGCAGCCAGTAGGCCCCGAGGAGGGCCACGTGCGCCCGCCGCCCGAAGGCCCCCTAAGAAGTTGGCCCGAGGCCCCACGGGCGAGACCGTATAGAGTGCGGACCAGCAGCTCCGCTGCGGAGCCTCGGGCGGGCGTTTCCGAGGGGTGATCGCCTCGGGGGGCGAAGCTCAGAGGAGGAAGAGGTACCCATACCTCTACCCTTCGCCCGTTCTCCCCCTTTTGGGCCTCCTCGGAGGCCCTCGTCGCCACAGCTGGATTCGCCTCGAAATCCTGGTCAGAACGCACCCCGGGAGAGGTCCGGGAAGCAGCGGTATCGGTACCTTTTTGCCTCCCCAGAAGCAAGGGCCCTGCCCCATGGGGCCCCACGTTGGGCCCCTTTGGGAGCCAGAGGAGGCCCTCCGGGGCCCCCCATGTAGGGCCCTTTGCTTCTCCCCCCGGTGCTCTCCTGCTTGCCAGTCCCCTCGGGCCTGCCGGAGAGCCATCCTGTGGCTTCGGCTTCGCAGAGGGAGGGCTCCGAGAACTTCGCCAGAGGGCTGGAGGCCTTCCGAGCCCTCTGAGCATCGGAGGATGATAGACCTCCTGTCCTGACGCGCCGATTCGCGACTCGGCCGCTCTCGGCTCGCGAGAGGGCGTTGCGGCCGTCCTGCTTGCGGGTCCAGGTTCGTCGGTTGCGGTCCCGGGCCGTTGCCATTCACTACATGGAGGCTTGCCAAAGGGAGGTTTGTCCACCGCCGAAGGGAAGGCTCCGAGAGCTTCGCAGAAGGCCGGAGGCCTTCCGAGCCTTCTGCGACGGCCCGCTCCCTCTCACCCCACCCCTGCGCGCGGAGAAAGAGGAGGAGGAGAAAGAGGAGGAGGAGGAGGAGGAGGAGGAGGAGAAGGAGGAGGAGGAGGAGGAGGAGGAGCAGGAGCAGGAGCAGGAGGAGGAGGAGGAGGAGGAGGAGGAGAGGGAGGGGGAGGGGGAGGGGGAGGTGGAGGAGGATGAGAGGAGGAGGAGGAGGAGGAGGAGGAGCAGCAGCAGCAGCAGCAGCATGCGGCCGCCCCACCCAGTTCCGCACGCACCCTGCGCGCGCCTGGGGCGCCAGAGCCCCGCCTGCGCGGCCGCCCCCCCGCGCCCCCGCGGAGGCGATCGCAGAGACGACGGCCGTGGTGACCGGCGCGACCACGACCGAAAGGACCACGACCGTGACCGCCGCGACCACGACCGAGATCACCGGAAGGACCACGACCGCCGCGATGACCGGGATCGTGGTGACCGCGATCGGGACCTCCGGCGCGCGAGGGGGTCGGGAGGGTGCAGCGGGAGGAGGGGAGAGGGAGGGAGGGAGGGAGGGAGGAGGAGGAGGGGGGGAGGGAGGAAGGGCAGGGTGATGAGGAGAAGGAGTAGGAGAAGCACCAGGAGGAGGAGGAGGATGAGGAGGAGGAGGAGGAGGAGGAGGAGGAGGAGAGGAGCAGGAACAATCTAGGAAGAGGGAGTTCGAGAAGAGGAGGATGATGATAATTAGATGGTGGGTGGTGCTGGTGGGATGGAAAGGATCGGATCAGGGACCCCTGGGCTTCTCCGTTTGGAGCCCCTGGTTTTTAAGAAACCCATAGCATGGGCAAGAGCGGATTTTCAGGAATGGGTTTCTTGTGAGGTATTTCTTGGGCCGCGTCTGCACTGTATTCAGGTGTAGTGACGCCGGCACTAGGGCAGACGCATACACGGCGAGACTTGCGACAGCCCTCGGAGGGGTCTACAGGTCATTCCTTCCTTCCTTTTCTCTTCCCTGGTCGCCCCTCTCTCCTCTCCCTCCCTCCTCTCCTCATTCCCCCTCCTTCGCTCACTTCTTCTCCCTCACCGCCCCGGGGGGAGGGCGCCCCAGGGGAGGGCGCTGGCAATCGCGCGGGGCTGCTGTGGCTCCGCGGCGCCAAAATGTGCCAGAGCGCACGGCGCCGAGGCACCTCGGCCCCCCGGGGCGTCGCAGCTCCCCGGGTCTCTGCCAGCGCCTCGCCTCAGGCGCTGGGGTCAAGTCGGGCCTGTCCATCTACAGGGGGGATATTCAAAAATAGTCCCAAAATACCATGGGGACTATTCTTTGAGTATTTTTGGACGTCTCTTGCATATATGTTTGAGTATTATGATTTTTCGCCTAAAATCCCCCTGTAGGGGGACAGGCCCGACCTCACGCTGGGGCAGGGGACGCAGACGGAGGTGCCTGCGGGGCGCCCACGGCGCTCCTCTCCAGCCACTCCGGGGGGCGTCTTCTCCGAGGCCCCGGCCGTGGCGGGTCCCGCGGGTCCGCCTCGGGAGCCTCTGGGGCCTCCGGCAGGCCTTCGCGCTCTTCCCTTTCTGCCCTCACCTGAAGTCGGGAACCTTCCAAAATGGTCAACCAATAGTCTGGAGACTAGTTGTCTGACTATTTTCGGGCATCTTCTGAATATTTTTTGAGTTACGTTCTACTTTTCGTCCAACATCCCCCTGTAGGGGGACAGGCCCGACCTAACCCTCGCCGCCCCGTTCCTCCGTCCTTCTCCCCTCTCCCTTGCTCCACTGGGGGGCGTTCTTTGGGATCTGTGCATGTGGGTCGATGGCTTCTCCCATCAGCTCCGAGCGTTGGGCATGCCCCTCCTCCACACCTTTCGGACCCTCTTCCTCCTGCCTCCTGACCCTCTTCCTCCACCTTCACCCTCCTTCTAGTCCCACCTCCTGACTCTTCTCCTCCTCCTCCTGCTCCTCCTCCTCGCCGCAGGGGCTCCAGCGGATTCGGCTCGTCCTCGGGCACTTCGAGGAGCTTCACGAATTTTCGCGTACTTCTCGGCACTTGCTGTCTCCTCCTGCAACTTCCTTCCGCCCCCCCGCCCGGGCGCGTGCGCTGGTGCTGCCGAGAGCCTGCCGCCGAGCTGTCTGCGATGCAGCGCCCGCTCTAAGCCAGCGTGGGCGCTGCCGTGTCGCCGCGCCTCTGCTCTCCGACGCGCGGCCCCGCGTCCCATGGGGAGGGCGCCGCGGCCACCCGGGGCGGGCTCCGCCGCGGGCGCGGCGGGCCTGCCGTGGGGGTTTCGCCCCGCTGCCGGCGTCGCCTGCCGGGGCGCGGGGCGCAGGGCCTGCCGTGGGCTTGCCGTGGTCAGGCCAGCCACAGCTGGGGGAGCTGTGGTCCTCTCAGCCGGGGTGGGGGGAGGGGGGAGGGCTTCTCAGAAGCACCCCTGCTTCTTACAAGGCGCGGGCCTTATCTGTAGATGTAAGGCCGGCGCCTTCTAAGAAGCGGCCTCCTTCTAAGAAGCCCTCCCCCCTCCCTCCACCCCCTTGTGCGCGCCACCAATCCTTACCCCTCTGGGGGACCCAAACACATCCGCCGATGTGATTGTTGCAGCCTGCGGCCCCTGAGGTCCCAACCGCTTCCAGGGGGGCAGTTTCCAATCCCGGATCCGTGTTTGGTGTTGGGACCTGACAAGGCCGAAAGCGAAGGAAAGGCTTGGATTGAGAAATCATGTCGTCGGAGACTTGGGTTCCCCTCTCCTGAGTCAGTCCCCCCTTGTGTTTCCCCTTCACTTCAGTACAACAGAGCGGGGGGGCATCCACCTCCCTGAAAGCGGGGCACACCCTCAGGAGCGAGACCGCGACCACGGAAAGGACCGAGACCGTGGCCGCCGCGAGGATGACCGGGGTGCCTCCGCCGGAGTAAGCGCCCGCGGCTCGGGGGAGATCGCCATGAATGAGAAGATATGGTTTCCGCCGTTTCCAGGCTCTAGGGGCCCTCAACAGGCCCTGGGATCGTCTTGAAGGGCTTCTGGGTAAAAATCTGCTCCTGGCGAAGGCCTCCTGGGGTCCAGGGTCCGTTTTCCTCAGGACCCGCCCCTTCGAGCAGCAGCAACAGCAGCAGCAGCAGCAGCAGCAGCAGCAGCAGCACGAGGAATCTAACAGCAAACATCGGCAATGAGGGGCAACGTTAGGGGAGGATAGGCCAAGGGGGGGACGCATCGACACCCAATCGCCCATTCATCGCCGAAAGGGGCCTCGATAGCCCTCCCCGCCAAGGACTCTGCGGATTCGCTATCGGGGGCCCCATCGCCGATATAACGGCGATGTATCGCCGATTCCAGGTCGCTGCCCCCCCCCTGAGCCAAGTTCCCCCTGGAGTTAAGAGAGGCGGAGCAGCAACAGAAGTCGAAGACGAAACAAGCCGCATAAGCCTAAACTGGTGGAGCTACTCGCGGATGTCTCGGATCCGTGCCAGGCCAGCATTGCGCGAGGTGACCAGGGAAGGAAAGTGAGGGGAAGGGTGATGATGATTAGGAGGTGCATTCTGATGGATGCGGAGGATGGTTGGATAAGAGGATGGCGGAGATTTGAGGCGGGAGCGGGCGGAGCAGGGATCTGACGAGGAAGAGGGCGCCGAGGCTGTATGATGGGGATGGGAAGCAGGTGGAGAAGAAGAAGGGGGACACCGAGGAGGAGGAAGGGGAGGAGGAGGAGGAGGAGCAGGAGGACAATGGAGAGCAGGGGATCAATGGGGCCTGCCTCCTTGAAGAGCTTGTCGGCCCCGCCGCGCAGGAGGCAGGCCATGCCTCCCTGTGTCCTTCGGCCAGCCGTTTGGGCTCTCCGCTGTCTGGATCGCGTGCCTCCCTTGGAGACGGGCCGATGCCGGGCCCCTCAGCCGTTCCCCCCCAGACTCGGCACGCCCGAAGTGGGCACGGAAAGAATGGGTACAATGCCCAACAGCGGATCCTGTTCATTCTGAACAGGACTCGCTGTCCGCGCCGCCGCGGCCTGTGTCCATTCGAGACAGAAGGCCGCCTGCCCAACAGCGGCCGCTGCTGGTTTGGGACAACATTTGTTATTGCGCATTGTACCCATTTTTTCCGTACCCATTTCGGGCGTCCAGACCGACGCCTTCGCGTCGTGGAAAAGGCATGACCGGCGTTTTTGTTTGTGGTTGATGTTGAACTCTCATTTCGGAAGAATCGCATGTGTTGATCCCCCTTCCAGAGACCATTTTCTTTTCTCGGAAATTAGAATGCTGCTCGCATGGCTCGAGCCCTCTTGTTCTTACAGAGGACAGCGGGGGGTGATCCAACTTTTCCGGTTGGGCGCCGAACTTCAACAACAACGGCTCCTTCCTGATACTTCCGCAAGTATTTGCCTAATCGCGCTCTCGCGCGGGACTTCCTCACAATCTATACAGGGATCGCGCTCTACCGTGGGACCTCCTCGCAATTTATTCAGATGCCGCTGCCTCGACAGCGCTCTCGCTGTGGATTTCCTAACGATTTATTTGGAAATCGCGCTGTCGCTCGAGACTTCCTCGCGATTCATGCAGGACGCACGCTTCAGCAACCCACATGCCCGTTGTCCCTTCCTTGCATCCGTCCTCTATTCCTCTGCCTTGGGGGCTGCACGGAACAGACGTTGCAGGTCACAAAGATATACCCCTAAGGGAGTACGATCGAAGACGAAGAAGGCCCTTATCGAAGGTTTGGGAGATACGTGTTGAAAGGCACGCGAGCAGATGAAAGCGAACAGTCTTAAAATGATTGTTGTTGTTGTGGTGGTAGTTGTTGTTGTTGACCTCTATTCAAGGTCAAACTGAGTTGTTGGGCCCCGAATGCAGCAGTAAAACGGCTACCCGCCTGCTACATCCTCACCATGTTTTCCACTATCGCGCTCTCGCGCGGGACTTCATCATCATGTATGCACGAACCGCGCTCCCGCGTGGGACTTCCTTGAATTTTATTCAGACGCCGTGCCCTCGACACTCAGGAGTCACGCTCTCGCTCTGGCATTACTCACGATTCATGGTGGTGGGCTGGTTTCCCACCACTACAAGGTAGGAGGGGGAGGGGGTCCTCCTCCTCCTGCTCCTCCTCCTCCTTCTCCTCCTCCTCCTCTTCCCCCACCTCCTCTTCCCGCTCCTCCTTGCCCCATCCAACTTATGCTGGTGGTGGTGGTGGAAAACAGGCCCATCACGTCGCGCTTGTCGCCCGAGGCTTCCCCGCGATTCGTGCAGGACTCGCGCTTCCGCAGCCCGCCCGCTCGGCCTGGCCAGCCTGGCCTGGCCGGCCCTATCTGCCCGTCTGGTTCTGCTGCGTGTTTGCGTCTCCTAGCCTTAAGTCGGGCCTGTCCCCCTAGAGGAGGCTTTTCGACGAAAAATAGTAAATACAAAAAATAGTCCAAAAATAGTCCAGAAATAGTCTGAGGATATTTGTTTGCATATTTGTTTACCTTTTTGGTGTGTTTTTTGAGTATTTTTTTTTAATTTTTCGTCGAAAATCCTCCTGTGGGGGGACACGCCCGGCCGCCCGACTTAATCCTAGCCTTAAGTCGGGCCTGTCCCTCTAGAGGAGGAATATTTCAATTTAGTCAACAAATACTCCGGGGACGATTCTTCTATTATTTGTTTCGACTACTGCCAAGGCCTTCCGGCCGGTGCCGCCGACCCTGCATGGCGGCGACAACCACGACCACAACAAAGAAGCTTTGGGGGTCTTCCTGGGGGTAGTCTGGGGGCCTCTTGGGAAGCAGCTCTCGGGGGCTGCTTGGGAGCCTCGTGGGGGCCTCTTGGGGCTTCCTGGGGGTTTTGGGGGGGCCTCTTGGGGCTTCTTGGGGGGCTTCTTGGGGGCCTCTGGGGGTCTCCTGAGAGCTTCTCAAGCCGAGGTGTTGAAATGTCCGTTCGGGTCCCCCGACTGGGCTCCCTCTTACAACCGTCTTGGGAGCCTCTTCGATTGTCTTGGAGGCCTCTTGGACGGTCTTGGGGCCCATTTGGGTCGTTTTAGGGCTCTCTTGGACCCCTCTTGGGCCATCTTGGGCCAGTCTTGGGGGCCTCTTGGCCCGTCTTGGAGCGTCGGGAAGCTGACAAGGCGGGAATGCCGAAATCTTTCAAAAGCGAAGGACAATCGATGATTTTTGTTCCTTGGTGTCCTCTTTGAAGTCCTCTTGGAGACTTCTTGGGGCGTTTTGGAAGCCTTTTGAGCCGTCTGGAGGCTACTTTGGCGACTTGGACCTATACTTCGGCGATTCGGGGCCTTCTATCTTAAAGTCTTTTTTGGGTTGTTTTGCATTTGTCCTCCAAAATCCGCCTGCAGGAGGACACGCCCGACCTGATCCTAGCCCCTCTCTTGCAATAATTTCTCTCGTGCTCCATCCTTCTCCCTCCCTGTTCCATCCGTCCTCTTTTCCATTGTTTTGGGGGGCTGCGCTATGGGCACATGGCAGGTGAGGAAGACGTGGCCCGGGTGCCGCGGGTTTGGGATACACGTGCGGAACGGCGCGCGAGCAGATCGGAGCGAGCAGGCGTCGCATGATGGGCGGCGGTGCTGCTGCTGCTGCTGTTGCTGCTGCTGCTGCTGCTGCTGCTACTGCTGCTATGTCCGGCCGTTGGGGGCCGTCGCAGGGCCCTGGGCCGTCAAGAAACAAGGCAGGATGAAAGACCGATCCGGGGGAATGGGTCGAGGCCCCCTTTGTGAGCAAAATCAATCAGGATGGCAAAAAACCTACAGACACATTAAACCGTCGATCCCGAGGAACATAGGGAGAAATATGGGAAGTGGGGGGGGAAGACGACAACCCAGAAGACATGGGAAAATGTGAGGAATCCTTGGATCTTTGTGTGTATTTATCTGTGTGTCCCTGGGTGCCCTGAATCAAAAGCGCCAGGGGTCTGGGCCCCGCCCGTCCCGCCTAAGCCGCTCCTCCTCCTGCGCCTCCTCCTGCTCCTCCAGGGCCCTCTCCCCTCTCTCCTCCCTCCCTCCCTCCCTCCCTCCTTGATCCGTCTCTCCCTTGTCTGGCTATATCGGCTCCCCTCCCTCGCCATCCATCCTCCTCCTGCTCCCCTCCTCCCTCCCTCCTCGAGCACTCCCACTCCCTTCCTCGCTCCTCCTCCTTGACTCTCCCTCACTCCTCTGTGGCCTCACTCCGCGGTAGACTCAGACTCTATCGGCCCTCCTCCCTTATTATTTATCATCCTCCTGCTCCCCTCCTCCTCCCTCCCTCCTCGAACACTGCCCCTCCATTCCTCGCCCCTCCTCCGTGACTCTCCCTCACTCCTCTGTGGTCTCACTCCCCCCCCCCCCCCTTCTCCGCCGCCCGTGGTGCAGGCCGGGATCGCAGCCGCAGCCGCGACCGCGACCGCGGGCGCCGCGACCGGCGGTGACACCTCGGGGGGACAGGATCTCCATCGAGCACCTCGTGGGCAGCTGGTCTCTCGACCTCCTCCTCCTGCTCCCTCTCCCCCTCTCCCCCTCCCTCCCCGTCCCTGCTCCCCGCCTCCTCTTCTCCTCGCTCCTTCCCCCGCCCTCCGTCCCCTCCCCTGCCCCCCCTCCTACTCCCCCCCTTGCCCATGCGGCTTCATCCTCCCCCATCCCCCGCCCCTCTCCTCCTCTTCTCTCCCTTCCCGTGACCCTCCCTCATCCCTCCCTCCCTTCCTCGTCCTCCTCTCTTCTCCCCGTCTTCCCTCCTCCCTCCCTCATCCACCTCCATTTCATATCCTGGTCCCATTCCATTGCCATCCGCTCAACGGTTACTCTACTGTCCTCTCCCCCCTGAAGACGTCTTGAGAGTGGCGTCCCCCTCTGCGTATTGTTTTTTACGCACAGGGTTGATCCTTGTGCTGTCCTTGACGAACAGCTTTTCACGCAAAGCTGTTTGTTTTGATGTGTTTGTTCCACTCCTGCTTTCTCGGTCCTTCCACAATGGCGTCCCCCTGCGGTGCGGGCCTCATGTCAGGATCGGAGCTTCGCCCTGTCGTTAACCACTGCGCTCTCGCCCCAGCGCGGGACTTTTTTTTGAACTCTAGTCATTCCTCATCGTTGTCGCCGCTCTCTTTTCCTCTCCTCCGCCATCCCCTATTCCTCCTGCTCCTCCCGCTTCTTCCACTGTAATTTCTGTTGCTGCTGTTCGTCCTCGTCCTTCTCCTTTCTCAGTCCTCATTATCCACCTTTCCCTCCTCATCCGCCACCCCCAATGTTAAGTACGCGGCCCCCATTTCCGATTGCGCATAATACGATGGGGTCTTTCTTGAAATTCCAGGTCCGCTATGACAAGCGTCGACGGGTATAGAAAAAGTTGGCGAAATAAGAAGGTATGGGTGGGAGTGGTAGGATGGCAGATGTGACGCGAACGCACCTCGCTTACGCTTTCCCTTTTCTCTTATTCCTGTGCTCCTCCTCCTCCGCCTCATTCCTCTCCTTCTTCGATTTGCTATGCATCCCGTCTCGACCCCCCCCCCAGGAGTATTATTTTAGCTCGCTTCGAGGGTCTGAGAGACAAGCAAAGTTGCCTACGGCGTTCGGACATCCTGTCCTCGACAATACGCAGTTTCCTGGCCCTTGCTATGAGTGCGAAAAAGGGGCTCGTATGCTGCATCCCCCTTCTCGCCTGCCTCCCGCTGCGCATCTGCCCTATGCCCCGTCGCCTGCGCGAGGGGGGAAAGGCAGGTGAAGAGGCGGTGGAGATTCGGACCAGTGTGCGCGTGTGTGAGAGAGAGAGTGCGCGTGCGTGCGTGTGTGCGTGTGTGTGTATATCCCTGTAGCCCCCTAGTCTACGGCTTTGCCGCCTGCTGCTTTTCGGGGAGCTGTGACCGCCCCTTTTTAGTCTCAAGACTGCCAGCCTGGTGGCGCGCTCGCCGCAGCATTCTTTCTGCGCTTAACCTTGTCGTAGTGTTAGTTTGGTAAGGTCTCAAGAGCGGCTTGGGAGGCGGTGCATTGCTCGGGAAAAATCAAGAGCGGCTTGGGAAGGTTTGCTCTGCTTCACGCTTCACCAGCAGCAGCGTCAGTGCGTGCGTGTGTGTGTGTGTGTGTGTGTGTGTTTCCGAGGGCGCGATCCGTAAGACTTGTCACCTGCGAGGGGGTTTTCGGCGGGAACGGCATCAATTTTCGGGCCACGGCCAAGCTCGAGCGCGCGCCTCTTCGATGGAAAGAAGACGTGCCCCGCGCCCGAGAAGGAGCGTCCGGAGTGCCGTCGAGGGACCAGCGATCATTGCCTATACGATTACCTTTCGCAAGGGCGCCCTCGAGGGCGCGAAGTTATTCGCGCTTCGCGCTTCGCTGTTCGGCTCCGATTCCTCCGCATCCTCATCTTCTCCCCTGGGAGGCGGCGCGAGAGCGCGAAGTTATTCGCGCTTCGCGCAGCGCGAAGCGCGAAGTGGGGAGCCCTTGTTTCGGGTGATGAGGATGTTGTTTGGGGGGATGGGTGCAGCGCTCGGTTTGCGATTTGCGTCGGACCGCATGATCGATCTATGTTACCGGAAGGCTCGACTTCTTCATATTAGATGTATACATATACATATGAATATGTATACATAGACTATCTTATATTTGTATGGCCTATCTATACAAAGGAATACATCTATCTATGTATAGACACGTTTCTAATTTGCCTTCGCCCCGTCCCACCACCGTGCCTTGATTGTGGGTCTGAGTCCTCAGGGATGCTCAATGGGGTCGCCTCGGAGTGCTCTCGGGGGCCTTTTGCTGGCAGTTCGGGGGGCCTCTTGGGCCCTCCTGGGGGCCTCTCGGGGAGGAGGCTCGACATGTCCGTTCGGGCCCCCCGACCGGGCCACCTCTTGAAGCCGTCTTGAGGGCCTCTCGGCCGTCTTGGAGGCCTCTTGAGCACTTGGGGCCCTCTCGGGCCGTTTTGGGGCCCCCATTGGAGGCCTCTTGGGCCGTCTTGGGACGATTTCGAGGGCCTCTTTGGCCATCTTGGAGCTTCTAGAACCCCAACATGCTTCAAAGACCTATTGGACATCAATGCTTGTTGCCTCTTGGGGCCCTTTTGGGAGGTCTCTTGGAGATTTCTTCCGGCGTCTCGAAAGCTTCCTGGGCCGTCTTGGAGCCATTTGGGCCCGCTTGACTCGTCTGGGAGCCTACTCGGCCACGGCAAAATCATGAGGGAGGCCGCGACGGGGTTCAGGGGGCACGCCTGTAGCCCTGGAAGATTTGGCAATTTCGGGTCTGGGCCCCTTGAAAGATCCTGAGACTTGAGGACTGAGGCTCCAGGGGATCGAACTAGAGATCTGAGAATACACCAGCTCGTGCCTTGAGGGCACGGTGGCGAATCGACATATTTTTCTGCCGGTCTGACTAAATACTCCTCTGTCCCATCCCCAACCGCCGGTCATATTATCTGATCTCATCCGATACATCCACCTGGCGCGTTCTAGAAGGGGCCCCGCCTTCGAGGACCGAAGGAGCTGATGTCTCCTCCTCAGCTGGGCGGAAGGCCGGCGGAAGGCGACGGAAGCAAAACAAAGGCGGCTTCGCCGGCTGAAGGCCAGCGAGGCTGGCGGAAGCCAGTGGAAGTAAAGGTTGGGCCCCTAAGAGATGTCAGTTTGTTCGGGTCCAGGGTGTCCTGAGCTATCCATCTATCACCTTGACTATCCAAAACTTCGGTCTTACTATCGATCTGTCTACAGACGGGACAATCACAGGACAATCACCAGCACAACTACAGGACAACCACCACGACAACCAGGGGACAGCCACAGCACAACCATGGCACAACCACGGGGCAACCATGGGACCATCGCCGGACAACCGCGGGACAACCACGGGCATGCCACGGGACAACCACGGGGCCGCTACAGGACAACCGCGGGAAAGCCCCGGACACACCCCAGAAGGCCGCGACTGATTTTGGCGTGGCTTGGGCCTGGCTGCCAAGGGCAGGCGCTCGCGCTGCCTTGCCTCGCCCGCGCACGCCACGCATGGCACGGACCGCAACTGGAGCAGCTTCCCCCCTTGAGGGCCTCCGTTTTACTCCGGTCTGGCCTCCCCGAACCTCAAATTTCTCAAGTCCGCGGGCGCCAGGGTGCGAGGGGCGGTCTGGCGCTGGTCCGAGCGAGCGGTGGGCTGCACCGGAAGCTAAGGCAGGCACGGAGCGAAAGAGAAGGGACGGAAGAACAGGAGGGGCGGAGCCCGCTCAGGCCATGTAGGTCGGCGCGGGGGTGCCAAAGAAAGACATGCAGCCCCGCCGCACCTCCAACACTCCCGGGGGGCACAAGCTCTGGGGGGATGCATCGGCCCCCAATCGACGACTCATCGCCAATGGGGGCCCGATAGCCAGCCACGCCCAGAACCAATCGGCCATGTGTCGCCGATTCCAGGTGTCGATGCCCCCCCCCCTGAAACCGGTCCCCTAACGTTACCCTTCAAAATTCAGCGAAGAAGCGTTCCAGGGCGGCGACGACAGCGGCGCCGACGATGACACCGACAGCAACGCCGATGGCGACTGCGTCGGCGACGGCTCCGACGACGGCGACGGCGGCGACGGCGACGACGGCGATGCCGATGGCGACTGCGGCGGCGACGGCGACGACGGCGCCGACGATGATGCCGACGGCAACGCCGGTGGCGACTCCCGGCGGCGACCCGACGGCGGCGCCTCCAGCACCCAGCAGGACGATCGCCCAGCACTCACCCGCGACGGCGCCGACGGCGACGGCGCCGACGGCGCCGCTAACACCAGCGCGCGCCTGGCGCCCCGCGAGGGGCGCGGCCGGCCGCGCCGCGAGCACCAGCCGCCGCGGGCGCTGGCCACCGTGGCTGCGGCCGCGCTCGGCGCGGCTCGACTCGCCAAGGCCACGGCGAGATCGGCGCTGTCGCGGTCGACGCTGTCGCGTTCGCTTGTCGTCGTCGGCGCCATGGTCTCTCGCCTTCGGCCGCGTCGCCGTCGCCGCCGTCGCCGCCGTCGCCGTCGTCACCGTCGAGAAGGAGGAGGAGGAGGAGGAGGAGGAGGAGGAGGCGGAGGAGGAGCAAGAGCAGCTTGGCTTGCTGCCGGGGAGGAGTGGCGAGGGAGGACGAGTACGAGGTGGAGGAGGAGGATGAGCGGGAGGAGTATAAATAGGGGGAGTAGGAGGGGAAGATAGAGAGGAGGATTGATGGAGGAGGAGGAGGAGGAGGAGGAGGAGGAGGAGGAGTTGGAGAAAAGTGAGAACATGGGCGTGGTTAAGGATCAGGGATGGGAGCTCATGTTTCAGAGCTTTTGGGGTTCAGGGTTCCTGTTTTTGTAGTTGTGGGTATGGTCGGGTTGCAGGGTTTCTGGACTGATGTTCTCCCCCCCGTGATCTAGATGGCCTTCGGCCACCCCGCCACCGTGCCCGGGTTGGTAGTTCGTTGGGATCTCGTGGGAGGCCTCTCGGGGGCCTCTTGGAGTTATTTTGGACGCCTCTAGGGTTATTGTAGGAGGTTTGGGGCCTCTTTTGGGCCTCTTGGGGGCCTCGTGACGCCTCATGGCGCCTCATGAGGCCTCCTGGGGGCCTCTTAGGGCGGAAGGCTAGGATTTTCGGCCTCGTGTTCCCTCTTTTGGGGCCGTCTTGGGGGCCTCTTGGGCCGTTT